CAAATCCGGTCCCTTCATCCAGCAATCATTAATGCATTTGCCATTGTATCTGTTAGATGCATTAAAGACAATCCTCAAGGGCGTACTAGAGCTATCCCTTTTCGCAACTGAATGGTGAGGAATATAGTGAACAGGGCCTTGATAACTCTCGACCTCTTCTGGCGTCAACTTGCGCGAAAATCCCATCTCTACCATTTCTTGCATCTGCTTGTCATAAGCCTCTGCCTGCCCTTTGTTTCTTAGCAGCCTCTTCTCTAGTCCAACTAGCATCTTCTTAGCCTGATACCGGTTATCCTCCAGATCACACGGATCCTTAGCCCAAGGGTAGGGAACCATCCATTGATTACCGACTTTGGTACAAGACTCCTTGATAATTTTGCCTTCCAGCTTCTCAGTGGCCCTTTCCTGGGACTTGCAGTCACAAGGTCCTATGTCCACCCCTAGTGCTTCAGTGTTCCAAAAGTCATCCAGGTCGACTGGCTTCTTGATCTGCATATGCATTTGTAATGATGCGTTTTCCACTCGTATATACGTGTATGCTCAGGTGTGTCGGTGTGTGTGTGATCGTGGCTCGTGTGTATAATCGTAGTGTATATACCATGTGATGCGCTAACCCAAAAGGTCCTCGCTGGTGCGGGTAATTACGAATTAATCACCCTGAGGTTAGCATAAAATGATAGACAAACTAGACGTGTACGTACAACAGTATATATATCTATCTATTCTTTCACTCACTAATTAAGTACAAGCATACAGGGTTTTCGTCGTGTTAGATCAATGCAATACGGTGTGCACACCTTACCGGCGTGGCTACGGTGGTTTAGTCACGAGGTATAAATAGTCTATGTATCTTAGCTAGCGCTCCGTCTCTCTCTGCACGTACAGAGTATGTTTGTACTAACGTGTTTCTCATAGAACAACCAACAGAGTTGATGTATATGACAAACAGAGGGTAGCACCGTAAATAAACAAATACAATGACTCAAAATAGTTTAAAGAGAGAGAGAGACACAAATACGATAGAGCACTCATACGATAGACCTATTAATACTTACAAGACGCTGACGTTCGGGAACTGTCTTTTATAGTCCAGTACCCCGGTATTTATTCTCTTTTTAGAATCATTAGCCCGCTATCTGACGTCAGTATTGGCCTCGACACGCCTTTTTTAGACGGCGAGTTTACTGGACGTTCGGACGTGGTCAAGTTTTTCGTTCTACCTGACTGCGTGCTATGGCACGACTAAGCTTTAATCGTCTTTAGGATTAATGGTTTCTAAAACCTGCATCGACATCCTATCCCCTTAGGCTAGCCAGTCACTTTCACGATTTGCTTAAAGGCATAATTCGACCATCGATTATGCAAAGTTGACGAATGCTACAGTAACTGGCACCTTGTGTAGTTAATAAG